TTATTTAAACGGTTAATTTTCTTGATAAAAGTAGCTAAATAATTCAAATGAAAAGTGCATCACCAATTGGACGATTTATATGTTAGGCTATTTTATCACTTGATTGTATGATTAATATATTTTGCTTTTTGTTACAGGTAATCATCGTTGGATTTAACAACAAATCTTGGAGATATTTCTCTTTTTGAACGTCATGACTACTTTTTAAAATATATATGTATTTTGTATATAATATTAATACGCATTTCTGAAGGCACACACGTGTTTGTACGCTAAAAATTAAATATAATTATTTAAAATTCTTTTACAGCATATCATATACTATCTCATACTATCAAGGAATACTATACTCTTTGATATATACTATCTCATACTATGAATGAACTCTATATTCTTTGATAGTATTGTATCGCCATCACGTTTAGTAACTACTGTCGCATACTGGTTTTCAGGTTAGTAACTAAAATGAGTGTTGTTATGCGAAAAGAGTACTTATGTGTTTCAATGCACTTCTTTATTCTTTCATAATACTCATTTTTTTATATTGATTTATCTCGTTTTTTTTATTTTTTAATGAATTTTGTTCGGTTCCTTGAATTTCATCGATACATTCTCAACGGTATACGTAACCGCAGTTTATTTAAAAAAAAATACTTTTACAAAATATTTAAATAAATAATATTCTTTAGCTACGTTTTTTCGTTATTTTAGATCCTGATAAAATTAATACATCTTATAGATGTTAAAATACAGGAAAAGGCGAAAATTTTAAATAATAAATTGATGAAAGATAAATTTATTAGTAAATAACTTTCACCACAAGATGGTCATAGTGTCGCATTGCAGGTTTTCTGATGAAAAATATTCAACGCTTGACACTCTCAGTAATATTTCTATTTGAAGCAAATCCCGTTCTATCTGATTCTACCCCGTTACACCCAAAGTGGATACCTTACGTTGCTTTGGTTCCACTTGCTTTTTCATTCGGTCATATTAGTTTCACCTGCTTGCATTCTACAGGTTGTACCATTTACTTCTTACATCGTCATTTATCTTTTCATGACTGAACTCAGTTCAGCAAGTGCATAATTTCGAATATTTTCATCCGTAAATGGTAAGCAGAATATTATAAGTTAATTTCAAGTCAGTCATTCTCCAATGTCTATTTGAGAAAAGAAATTCACAATTGACATACCTTTCAAATTGTCTTCTAAACATGGTATAACATACTTTTCCAAAAGTTACGTTTAAATAATCCAGTTTGTATAAGCAACCACAGCTATGGTCTAAATTTAAATTATTAATCTTGCATAAATATATATACATATGTATGTATGTATATTATATGTATATATATGTGCACAAAAATTATCAAAGCATGATAAAATGTGCTTAAATATTTGTCAAAAATACAAAGTACATTTAATAGTTGTAACGCAAAGTAATCCAAATGGATATATATAGTAAAAAATATAAAATATAATTAAGATATTCTCTTCAAAGTTAATTATTATTGAATACAGATGGCATTTAGTGAACTTGAAGAAAGAATTAGTAAAATCCGACAACAAAATGAGGAAATTAAAAGAAGATATGAAGTAAGTTGGAATGATATTTTGTTATATGCTGTTCAGATGTACAAATAATGTACGATTAACATTTAATATAATCAGGAAGTAGAAGAAGATAAAAAGAATGCTGCTAAGTCAAATGCTTTGGTGCAAATGGTGCCATCAACGGTTTGGCCAGAAAGAAAAGAACCACCAGAATATTCGAATCCACCTAAAGTTAACCATAAACAAAAATCTGCTACAAAAGAACAATCCGAACATGTTCAACAGCATCATCCTAATGAGAGAAGAAAAGTATGTCTTATTTTTATCATTTTGCATAATTAAGAAATATAATTTGTTGGGTCGATGCATTTCATTTATTCATATTGGAATATAGGGCGAAGGACCACCTCCTGATCCTAAATATAATTTTCTTGCTGATGCTGAGCGAGAAGAATACAGTGCACCAAATAATCAAAGAGACAGTACTGGAAATAAAAATCATAACAGGTCTACTCGGGGCAATTTTAAAAAAAGAGGAATGGGAAAAGAAGGCCCACAAAGGGTAATGGTACTTATTTATGAATGCGTATGTATAATATTTATTGCTCATAGTTTCATATCCTGTGCAGGGTAGAACATATCATGGAACGCATAGAGATGAGCACAAGCCTGAGTATGAAGCTTGGCGAAAGGAAAGAAATCGCATTGATGAAGATCGTATTAGTAGACAAAAAACTGCAGAGGGCAACTGGCGTAGAGAATGGGATAATGATAAAGTAATTTGTTATCAATTGAAACAAAAGTATTTAAACTTCGTAAGCTAATTTAATTTTTAATTCATTTTTTATTTGATTATATATATAACAGGCCCATTTAGTAAATGAGATTTCAAAAGGAGAAGGTAAAGCTACTTTAGGAGATTTTTCAAAGAAAGATGGGAGATACTCTGATGGTAAAATATATTTATATATATATATCGTTTGAAATATTAATTAATCTTTTTTTAAAATTTCTAAAAGTAATAACAGATATTTTTATTAGGTAGTGGATATGCAAGTCATAATCGTGGTGCTTATCATAAATCTCATCGAGGATCTCCTAGAAACTTCCATAATAATTCTGATTACTCTCATATGGATTTATATGATATGCCTAATTTTTATAAGACTACCACGCCAATTTCTGTTGATGAACGAACTGTTGTTGCAACAGATAAAAGCATTAAGGTAACATTAAACCAAAGCAATTTGACAAAGGGTCCTGTTATGAGTGTTAAAGGTATAATACTTAATGCGATTAAATTCTGTAATTTTGTTGTTTTAATATGAACTATCTTACGTATAAAACTGGAATTATTTCACTTGTATTTTTTTTTTTTTAATTTTAAATTTATAGTAAATTCACCAAGTATAGCTGGTACAGGAAGAGTAGGTCCTCGACAAAGAACTCGTGTTACATACAGTAGTCATTCTGACATAGATACAAATATATACGAAAGTGGATCATTTTCACGACAAAAATCATTCGAAGATAAAACTAAAGGAAATCATTATAATAATGTGCAAAGGACTCTTAGCTTAAGGAAGCCTCAATCTCAAAAAAAGAAAGAAAATGGTGCTAAATCTCCATTTTCGCAGCGAAAAGAATTTAAGAAGGAAACATCATTTGCAAATTCATCTAAACATTATGAAAATGGATCACAATCAAATTTTGTACGCAAAGAATACAAAGATTCACAAAAGTCTCATTATCCACCTAAGTCGCCAAGAACGTTACATAAAAATATAAAAATACTGAAAGATGATTCTGCTGATGTAATGATCGACAATACGATCAAAGATGAGAAAAAAGAAGCAGTAGTAGTCTTAGAAGATAATGACGTTTTTATTGAATCAGAAAAAATCGACATAGAATCTCCAAACGAAATCAAAGATGACGAGTGCATTGTTGAAAATGAATCGAAAAGTGATATCAAAGAAGAAAATGAAATTATTTTCGAAAATTCTGAATATTCACCTTGCGAAGAAGAAATGATTAATGAAAATATTGAATT